CCAGATTCTCACTAGTCATAGTTTCCGTTTCCATGAAATCAAATTGGAATTTTATTTTGGAAATTAACGCAAACATTTGTTTTATGCCCAAATGCAAACCCGTTTAATGTGCTTTATTCGCAAAATAGTGCGCCTTCTTCAGTTTTAGGTGAATGACTTTAAGATGATGGAACTAGATCCGCGTTTGGGGTGACGTGGGACAATGACACCATCCCAACATTTGATATGATTTCAAAATTAGCAAATGGGAAAGCTTATGCCTCCAAATGTGAAATACATGGTAAAATGGAAAATTCAATGGCTAGTCTTTTAATAAATTCTGCTTTATAATGTGTCAGATTTGAGATGGAAATAATGTATTAGCTCAGTTCAATCTTTTACCATACTATGGAAAATTAGCTGCAACAGAGAAATGGCCTCTGCATTGTTTACCTTGGGTTCTTAACACCGATATGCCTGAATTTCTTTCAGCACTTCCTTGGGCATCTCTGCTAGCACTTTTTACGTGGAAGCGAGGACTTTCATTGCAGACAGTTTCTCCAAACCCTCCTCTACCTTCCCTTGCATTTCCATGCTCTATTTTTTCTGCGCAAAAAAACTAAAGCCCTAGAAGAGCTGATGTCGTTAGTCCACGCACCCGAGGTGTGATTCGATACCTCTCCAGTTATTCCAACCCCTATCTCCATCTTCTTGTATGAAGCTTGTCGAAGGGAACTAAACTCAAATTTTCTGGAATAAAAATAGCCTCGTGCTTCAGTTGTGAGACAGAGAAATACTGGGCATTATCTTCTTAATGACTTGCTAAACAATAGGATTACTTCAAAGCAGCCAAAATCAGGTTGCACAGAACAACAAGAATTGCAAATAATGCCTAGACGAACAAGCAATCGCATCGCACTACATAATCTAAATCGGAGCAAGTTTTATCACCTCTGCGGTCGCCTCACTTACAAATTATAAAATTTCTATTTTCCCACAGAGGCCTTGAAATGGCGTTAGGTTGGGAACTCTCGTCAGACAAAAGCTGCATGTTTTGGTAAAATTTTCATGCACTAAAAATTGGTTCGGCTTTATATGTTAAGTCAAATAATAAAAACAATGGCTCTTTTTGCTGCATATGTCGGGAAAGTTGTATTTCAGTGTCTTGACCGAATTCGGAATTGCGATATATGGAATGTAAGCGATGGAGTTTGCTGAGGCATTAATCTAAAAGCCTCTCAAATCCGCAGAGATATATCGAATATTAATTACATCTCTTGTGTAAACGGACCGATAAGCATGATTTAGTTGTTTTTATGTCATGGAATGTCCGCTTACCAATACTTCAAGATCAAATTTGAGCCCCCATTTCATTTCCATCACATTTTCTCGTCTATTGGGAGCTAATTCTTCCCTACTTTATTATTCTTCATTTATTATTGTAATTTATTAAAACAAGCAAATGTCTTTGCAGGACATCCACTAAAGGGAATGAAAGTTTCGATGTTAAGTACCTTAGCAATTATAACGTGTAATGAAGAAATATTTTAGAGAAAGATATTCTTCGAACCGAACTTTAATTCATTTAGTATTTCATGAAATTTATAATTGCAAACTAAATTAGAAAACTTAGTTGGATTTCGTTGAAGCAATTGGAGCACCAATAGCGCAGGTCACTCATTGGCTTATTTCTATAAATATTATCTGACCAATAGGACGTTGCCCACTAATCAGTGGCCAATGAAACATTCCGATTGATTAACTGTAATGGATTGAAATGGAGCAGTCAACCTTGGGTTACAGTATTTAAGCTCCATTTGACTTGGTATCAATTGCATTGACGATGATTTGGCGTACGGCGCTTTTGTGCCTTCTGATTTTCTCTTTAGGCAGGGCTTTCTTTCACCTGCCTACCAATTACAACTACGATTTCTCGAGTTGTGTGGGAGCAACATGTCGCAGTGGTCAATCAGTGGCCTATGGTTGCATTAACGGAAACTGCACCTATGTATGCTCTGACGGTTTCTGCAGTGGGTATAGGGGCTACCAAGGTGTTCTTCCTCCAATGACGCATAGGAATCTTCTGAGGCCCTGGGGTTATGGTGTTGTCAGACATCAAGATGGCTGCCATGGAGGGAACTGCGGATATTGGGGAGGCTGCATGAATGATTACTGCGGTGGCTACTATGATTTCCGAGGGTGCCAAGAAATGGACTGCAGAAGTGGACCGTTTCACGGTTATGGCTGTAGTGATGGCAACTGTGGGATCATCTGCAACGGCAGAAACTGCTACATCGAGAATACATACGGTACACCAATGGGTACAAAACCGAATGTTGCACGAAACAAAACATTCGAGAACGAACCCAGAGCACCATCAGTAAACAAGCCATATGATATTCGACAGTATAGAAGAGGACTAGAAGATCTTGGGGAAACCTTCAAGAGCAAAGATAAGTGGATGTTGAGAACCCTCAACAGAACCGAAATCTTTGACTTGGTGAAATCTTGGATAAAGGATGAAAAGGTCTTTAATGAAATGAAGCCTGATGGAAAAGAAGTGAAATTCATACTAAATGAATTCAGGAAACGCAATCGAATGCAGACTCGTCTTGAACTGTGGAGAGAGGGGAAGAAATCGCAGATGTACTACAGTACGCTATGTCCGTATAAGCAAGATCAGTGTTCTTACTCGAATCAATTCCCACTAATGATACCTTATCAGCCATGCCCTCAAATGCTAAATAGACAGTACACACCAAGACCAATTATGCCGTACCAGTCTCCATTCTATCCTCCACAAAGCTATTTCAACCCGAGACCCTGGGCTCCAACTCAATATTGGCCTCCGAACCCTTATGTAGCACAGCCACAGCCGAGGTCTCCACCTCCAGTATATAGACCGCCACCCGGATGGGCACCTCCACAAGTGCCTGTTAACTGTCCTGGTGGATGCCCACATCCCAAGCTGCCTGTGTTACCTCCACCATCTGTTAATCCACAGGCTCCAAGGGCTCCCCCATCAGCACGTAGGCACACACCTGGGTGGGGTCCTCCTAAAGCACCATACGTTCCACAATCTCATTATCAGAGACCACCGATGATACCACAACCTCCAGTGTATCCACATCCTCATGTTGTGCCACAGTCTCCATATCAGAGACCGTCGATGATACCACAACCTCCAGTGTATCCACATCCTCCTGTTGTGCCACAGTCTCCATATCAGAGACCGCCGATGATACCACAACCTCCAGTGTATCCACATCCTCCTGTTGTACCACAATCTCCTTATCAGAGACCACGACAGTACTGGTTTCCGCCACATAGGGTTCCACCTCCAATGCAGAGGCCACCGATGATACCACGGCATGGAGGAAATCCAAGACCTCGAGGTTATTATACTGGACCCAAAGTATCCAACTAAGGATAAATGCAATTAATATTGTTGCTTAAATGCAAAATATACATATTTGGTATATATTGTTCTTCTATTTAATTTTGGGAAGTTATAGAGGTTTAGACAAACTAATTGCCTCAAAAAGCATTAGTCAAGTGGGCGGAGTAGGTATGCGCTTAGCTTGACTTGGAAAGCATGCCTATTGAAATGAGGACATATTAAAAATTGAAAGTTCGGTCTGTTGGCTTGGGAAAATCTTTTCTTCTCAGTCGAAAGGGCAATACCTGCGTTTTCAGACGGTATTTTGAACAAAATCTGAATTCGATGTTGACAACTCATTAGGTGACAATTTGATGTGGTAATGTAACCATCAAATGCTACCCCACCAGTAAATCCTCCGGTCGGGCTTTGGGCTCCTCCAACTCCGGGGAAAATACTTCCACGCCCGATTTCAACAGGTCCAAAACAACGGTATCAATAAGATTGAAGCTGACTTGATCAACCTTACAAGGGATCTAAATAAGAATAAAATATTGTTTGGTTAAATTTTAATTATGCAAAATTGGAATAGTGGTATTTTTTCAAATCTGCTCAATAATATGTTATAAATACCTAATTGGAATCGTTAGTTAGAAAGCATTTGTGTTTATGGTTATAGAAATATGAAAAGAGAGGGTGGGAAGTTTAGGCTTCCTATCATATTTCGGTTATGTCGGTAAAAATTAGAAATCAAATTTTAAGTTATTGATTACTGATATGTTGGCTATTGTCATATCTAATGTTTGCATATGCTACAGGAGAGGCTAACGAACATAGAGCATCGTTTTCAAGTGAACTTCCATCTAGCTCAACCTCCGCATTGGGTTCACTTTAGGCAGGCGGACCACATCGACATGGATCATACCTTAGACATAGTACTGCGATTATCGATACTGGTCCAAACCGCGTATAGCATCTTTAAATTGTATCATTCCTCGTCCTTATGGTAGGCCTACCACTTATACTATTCATCTTAGGATGAGCTTCCGCTTTTTATTCTTCCACAAAAGATTGGTTATTGTTTTAAAGATCTCTTAAAGTAACCTATTTCACCAAGTCTTCGGTTATTAATGCAATTGGTAGTGATATTGTATAGGATAAGTAGTTGCGAGTAAACACAGTGAATTTACCTTCAAATTTGAAAAGTCAGAACAAGTGGGAGCATTTTTCATTCATGTTGTCTCTATTTGGAGATTGGATTCGAACTTTGGAGACCATGAAATGGCAACTGAAGTCTGTTGAGGAATCACGTTCCAATAACGTAACTACCTGACTGTAAATTAATACTTATTCTGAGTCAAGATTGTCAAGACTTTAGATGACATTTTGATGCGAGGTGATATATCCACCAGGAAGTTGGCACTGGATCACCACTGAGCAGAAGAATTTGCATGCCTCAAATTTTAGCTTACATACTCCTTCTAGATGCTGAATATCACCCTGTTCATAACATATCTGTAAGAAAGTCATTTGGTGTCTGTAGGATAAATGATCTGACAAATCAAAGGATAAGTGGACCAAATGATGCCAGCATATGAATTGATAAGTCTGTGCAACCACTTTCTCTTTGAAATTGAGTAAGTTTGACAACTAACAGGGGAAAAGCTCCTTTCCCAAGTCGTACGAACGAGATTAGAGTAAGGGGGCTGAGCTATAGATATGTTTGAGTGATGAGGCTAAGTTACTTACTCCTGGAGACCTTCTGTATTCTAATTTTAATTAATTCATTCCTGCAAATTTTGTTTGAGAAACCGAACAGGCAACATATTCAAACGCTATTTCGCATTTTATCTAANCATATGAATTGATAAGTCCGTGCAACCACTTTCTCTTTGAAATTGAGTAAGTTTGACAACTAACAGGGGAAAAGCTCCTTTCCCAAGTCGTACGAATGAGATTAGAGTAAGGGGGCTGAGCTATAGATATGTTTGAGTGATGAGGCTAAGTTACTTACTCCTGGAGACCTTTTGTATTCTAATTTTAATTAATTCACTCCTGCAAATGTTGTTCGAGAAACCGAACAGGCAACATATTCAAACGCTATTTCGCATTTTATCTAAACTAATATTTTATGCTGTTAGCAAAATTTTCACGAAATACCAACCGGACGAACATGAGGCAGGGTTCAATAAGTGGCTCTCTATATTTGTAACGCGGGGTGTGAGATAGACTTACCTGTCACAACGTATAATCATACGGCAAAAAAGTCTATTAACCAGCAGTTGACTTCTCACTTCAAACAACCATCACCCACACTGTATGTCCTATTCGACCCCTTCTGCAGTACTCATCTTGCCCTTTCTGAGCCTCTGTGTCTGTCTGTTTCTTTTGCATCTGTGAATCACTCTTCTATTCCCCCTCCCGAATTCTTCTCTCTTTGATGTTCTTCCTCCCCTCTGTGAAACCCGAAGTCAACTAAATGGTTAATGATAACTATCAAAACGCCTGCCATTCGTTATAAATAAATAAATATTTGTAATGGATGGTATCTACAGGGCGATGGTATCAGTGGTATGTAAGATGGCCTAATGTTGAAGAGTGTACCAAGTTCTCATCACACAGCAACTGCATGATGAAGTATAAACGTGCAAGTAATAGTTATGGCACGTTGAAATAAGGCTCGGAAAGTGAGAAGGCCTTCAATTATCATTAATACAGCAACCATTGTTGTGTTGCATATTGAAGTACTGCAAAAGAGATTCAAATCGATTTCTTCAATTGATTTTTAATCAACTACTTTACGAAAAATTTAAAACGAGTCAAAGATTATTGTTGAACTTGTTAAGATGCCACCTTCTTCAATAGATAGTAGCTAAGGTGCCAAAATAGATATTTCCACTTAATCCCTAGAGCATTACAGAATTGGGAAAGTATCCCTGTCAAAACAATTAGTTCTGTGAACGTAAGGACGAAAGAGATACCATCACCACCATCAACTCATATTTTTGAGATGCATGTGAGTGTCATCAGCTAAATGCCATTTTATTATGACAATACCGATTAGCATGTTTCTTTGCCATTAAGAAAAATATGCCCAACTCGTACGCAGGGTCTTTACAGTTTCTTTTATCTAGGTGAAACACTACTAAATGCCCAAGCCATTAAGCCTTTACGCACGTGGTGACCCAATCAAAATTTGGATTTTGAAGAGATAATAGACTGTAGGTGTAAAGTCCCTTAATATCACAATCTCGTTCCCTGCTCTGTTTCATTCTGTCATAAAATCAAACATTTATTTGTCGACCAAATGCTGAACCTCATTTTCCCCAGCACCAGAATGATTCATGCAATTCGTCTCTACAAATCTCAGGCATTCACGTAAGGACATAGAGCTTCAACTTAATATAAGATATTTAAATTAAATCGATTAGTAATGGAGGTGAATTTTAGTTCGCAAGAATGTAATCGAGAAGATTTTGAATGTTGAAAGCCTTATAGAAATGAGTCATAACTCTTAGATGGCACTCTATTTCTAGATTCTTCGTTTGGCGATAGGTGTTTAGTCACTTCGTCAAATATTCAAATATTATATCTACCATCGTTTTTTTACATTTAAAGGCATTTCCGATTGCTAATTTTACATGCCACAGATCATTCAACCTTAATATCTGATTCATTTAAGAGACAGATCATAACCACTCCTTGTTCTTCTCTTATTACATGATGCAGAGTCCTAGTTTCAAGACCGACTAAAAGTTATAAGGCATTTTAGTGTATATATATATATATATATATATGTGATTGAATAGATTGTTTCAATTTCACTGAATGTCTTGCAAATTTCTCTTTCGCTTGTATGTTTCAAAATATCTGAAGTAAGTAATAAACCTGTATTTCTATATCATTAAGTTAAAACAAGTATACGTACTACATTCGTTGTCCCTCTTACAGTCATCTTTAGTATCAATCCACACAAACAAACATTACATTAGTAGCCATCATCACCTATGAATTAAATCAATGCATTGATTAGACATTCAAGTCCATTTATAATATTTCCATGTTGGGATTTAGAAGAATTAATTAGAAATTGAACTAAGTTTTGATTGGCTTATGATTTGGGAATATAAATTTAATTTGGCCAATTAAATTAGGCCGTTTACAAATGCGCCAATGAAAGCACGAGTAACAAGATTGACGCCAATAATACCCTATATATATAGGAGTGTGAGCCCACACAGTACACTTATACCATGAAGTTTGTTTTACTGATTCTCTGCCTTTGGTGCGTTCTTAGTGCTGGTAGCTTTATTCGAGCTCCATACCAGTACCCACCAAGGTATCCACGCTTCGCTGGCTGTCAAACTGACAGCTGCCATGAAGGTAACTACACTGGTTTCGGATGTCAGAGTGGGCGCTGTACTTACATCTGCAGTGACGGTCTGTGCAATGGCTACTCGGGTACACAAGAATACCTCTTCCCACAAATGCAGACAGATCTTACACGACCGTGGGCTCCAGGTGCTAGAAATCTCTACGGATGCAGTGGTGGTAATTGCGGCTTCTGGGGCGGTTGCAGCAATGGCTACTGCGCCGGCCGATACGATTTCCGAGGATGTGATAAATCGCAATGCCAATACGGTCCATTTCGAGGCTACGGCTGTGACACAAATCGATGCCAAGTCATATGTTATGACAAAAGATGTCACCTTGAAAACGTGTACGGATATGAAGTATCGGAGGTCAGGATCGAAACCGCATATCCAAGGAGCATCAGCGAACTAAAGAGCATTGATCTGTCTAACTTCTTTGAGGCTGAAAGTGATCTAACGAATATAAAGAGCAAATTTTGGCAATTCTATAAGAAAAAACCGGAATCATGGGCGAAAGATTTGAGAGATCCCGATTTGTGGGAGTATCTTTACCATAGAGCCGGTAAATTGCAGTTGAAGGGACCTCAAGTCCAAATGCCAGGTGACGCCTGTGACGCACCTCAATGTGGATATTGCAGTTAAATATTCTATGTGCATGTACAATAGATTGCAAAGGTTTTATAAACTAATCTGTTTCCTGGTAATAAAATAACCTGGTATATATCGCCTTGTTTTGTGCATCTTTGTAAATGCGATCATTTTTGGTATCAATATATATGATGAAAAAATTATGTAAGTGGAAATTATGTGGATTAGGGAAAATATATATATTAATGTATCGGAGTAAAAGATTGTTAGGAGAACAAGCGAAACAAACTGAATCGCAATGGAATAATAACCCAAGGGGATTGATATCTTATACATAGACTCTAAAGCGATTTGGTAAATTATGATTTCGTATGTTAAGCCTTGTAACTAAGGTAATACGCAAACACCATGTTATATCAGTTGGAAAAGCAGACCCAAAATACCTCATTTTACACTTTCAAACTAAACATTCTACTCGATGATGGCGCAATTCGGAAGAGTCTTGAAACAATAATTTGAGAACAAAATTTACTACTAATAAAAATTAAGTAGGAATATTGTGAAAGAACTTAAAAATGATTCTGCGCAATAATGATTTGAGCTTGTCAAGAACTTGAACTTTTCGGAATCCTAGTCTTTCATCGCAAAGCCAAGTTCCTCTACACTGCGGTTCAGTTTTTCCATGGTGACCTGGAAAATTAGAGAGTATGATTCAAAACCCCATGTCCTAAGTTGCCTGGATAGTTTCACGTCGCTATCCAAAGAGCCTCTTAGACTACTTGCTGTTGTTCCTCAAAATTACGTCAGTTATCATTTCATTATATTAACAGAAATGTGAATATAAGCTACTAATTATCAAATTTTTCACTCTTTTTGTCAAAGATTTCAAATGCTCTTGTTGACTCCAAGAGGGAAAGAATGCCACAAGATTGCAGGAAATCATGGAGTTTGAAAAGTCGAAAAAGGTGACTTGATTAGTTGCGACAAGAAAAAAATATTGAATCAATTTCAAGTTTTGTATAATCATTTGGATGAAAAATATCATTAAACTCAATAAAGTAGAATTGCTACACAAATAAAGCCGCAATCAAAGTATTGATGAATTTGTGAAAATGAGGCTATTTTTGCAAACCTTTTGAATGATTACTTTTTTTGAATTTTTGCTTTCCAGGCATGATCAATACGAAAGCGATTTGAATTCTCCAACGCCTTAATTTTGTTGATAAAATGCCTTGTCAACTATGGCCTAGTGACGCGCAGTTCCTTCTTAGTAGTAGGATTTTACACAGTTTTTTTATCAGTCTCGACTACTGAGTAGCTTTTTATGAAGAGCCTGTTGATATTTGTAACTAGTAAAATAGACAAACACCAAGTTACATTAGAAGGTAAAGCAGACCCAAACCACCTCATTTTACACTTCCGAAAACAAAGAAACAACTATGGACTTAGAAATACTTACAGTGTTTATAGATTATCAAAACCCCAAACAAGAATTGCTTTTGTAGGTGATACACTCATATTATACACAATAGAAGAGACAATAAAATGAAATCTCTCAAAACCCGCCAGCGCCCTTATTGGGTCCCTTTTGAATATTCTTCTTTTTCGACTTCTGCATTTTCTTGCTCAGTCGATTAATTCGGGCGGCCGATGAGGTGTGATTGAGAACGCTCACTTCGCCCTTGCTTCGAGAAGCAGCTGACATGGCATTGTTGCGCTTCGAACGCTTCTTCTGACCCCCGTGACCGTAAACGGCGTTCTTGAACACCCGCTTCTGATTCACCCTGCAAACAGAACAATGCAAATGAGTTGGACATAAATTTGCATTGACTGTTACAAACCACAGATTATACTTCAAATAAAGGGGTGCGCGATAGACTTACCTCCACGTGGTGCACTCTGGGCAACGTGTACTCATACAGCAAAAAGTCCATAAACTGGCAGTTGACTTCTGACTTCAAACTACCATGACCCCACTCTGTGTCATATTCGACCCCTTTCACAGTACTCATTTAACCTTTTCTCTGCTTTTGTATCTGCCTGTCTCTTTTACATCTGTGAATCATTATTCTGTCCCCCCTCTCGACCTTTTGTTACTTTCATGTTTCTAATCCTCTGTGAAGCCCAAAGTCAGCTAAATGGCTGTCCTCTGTGAAGCCCAAAGTCAGCTAAATGGCTGTTAATAACTATCAAAACGCCTGCCATTTGAAATAAATAAATACTTCAAATAATAAGCAAAAAAGTGGCCGACTGGATGCGGAAATCAGTTCGAACATAAATAAGTACTAAACTAATTCAGATAGCAATCCATACGCCCAACTGTGAGAACGAAACGACGAATTGAGACCTTCAAATAATAAAATCCGGATAACTAAATATTCATCTTCATGCAACGTAACTAAAGAAAACATGAAGTTGAAAACTTGGCGCCTAGGTGATACTATAATTCTGAAAGTAAATAGAAGACAAAAGTAAATGTTATGCATTTAAACCAAAAAGACCCAATTCAGCGAAGACACAAAAATGACAATTCTAAAACCAAAAGGGCCTATGTTACTCATTTAAATTAAGTAGAAAACATCGGAAACGAAATAATAAAGGTACATCATTTAAGTGATTCAGCATCATTTAATACTTAGACAATGTGCCGTATTGGAAACCCAAACAGGTATAAACAACCTAATTACTGGCAAGTACTGCTGCTTTAAGTGCCTTCATAGAGAATTTAAGCATACTTCAGATTACCGTTCAGATGTTCGCAACTCTTCCCTGTCCTATTCTTTAGTATTCAAGTTAAATTAATCCTCGCAGAAGCCCATCTTTCCCAAATTGACCGGTATAACTGAAGGCCACTCTTCAGATCAAATGTTGCTAGCACTAATTGGGTTACGACAGGCAGCAATTATGCCGAAGCAAATCAAGGAATGGGATTTAACATGAACAGTCCCTTATCATGCGGTCATTTCATCACAAAGCAAATAGATTTATTCGATAAATCTACTTATTTAAATTAAGTACCAAACAATCAAACATGAAGAAATAAGAATTTTAATTGAATAGAAAGACTTACTTTCGTCGCTTGGCATATTGCTCGGGGCGATAGTATTTGTTATTCGGTTTCGACTGCAGATTGTCGTGAGCCGCTTGTTTTCTGCTGCCTGAGGTTAGGTACTCCTCCAGCATTTGGGCTTGTTCTTTCCCAACTGAAATGAAAAAAAAAACAGTCCTCCTAAAAAATCAGACGCCTACAAATCATAATGACTTGATATGATGGTGGAACGAATATTTAAACAGAAATTGCATGGCATAAATAAAATAAACTAACCATACGCTTGGGCTAACATAATAATAGGATAAAAACCACATAATCAGACTTGCATTTGCTCCCATTAATAAAGAGCTTTGAAAATTGCTTTACTTTCGATTTGTTAACCAACCTTCAATTCGATAAATATTTCACTGAGTAGTCAAAAATAACGCATTACGGGAAACAACATTTGGTAACTCAAACTTCTATCGCCTAAAACAATCTGATCATGGACACCAAAAAGGTACTCAATCAAAAATTAAGAATCTAGCCGCGAAAAAAGTATAACGTTTAACCCCTTAACAAAAAATTAAGTCTTTAATAAACAGCAAACAAGGATACGGTAAGCATAGGAAGGTAGGAAAACAAAAATAGATTAAACCTTACCTCGGCCCTTTTTAGCGGCTTTGAGGGCTTCCATATGCTTTTTCTTTTCAATTCGACGTGCTTCGAGAATTTCTTTCTGTTGCTGCTTACCGAATTTGCGCTGCTCGCGTAGCTGTCTTGCCTTTTCACGTAACTCCAAACGTTTACTATTTACAACAATGTTTTCCCGAACCTACGAATATAATAGCAGTGCAATAAGCTTCAAAATATGAGAAAAAGAGATAAAAAATATTTACCTTTGCCATATGGGCATCTGATTTAATCATTTCAGCAAAATAGTCATTTGGACGTTTTGTCGGTATGCCCAACTCGTGAAGCTTCGGAATCGCTTCAAGAACGGCAGATTGCGCAACACGATAACTAAAAAGCAAAAAGTATAAAAGTAATACGTCAACCAACAATAACGCTTCCCGCTTAAAATCGTCATTTGGGTCAATCTTGCGGGCATCATCATAGATGCCTGATTCTTTGGGTGCAGGAGCTGGACCCGTGACAACGTCAAGACGCTCCACCCAAGGGAGTGCTTTTTTAATTTTGTTTAGGCAACTGGTAAGCAAAACCTATTAAGAAAGCCCAAAATCATAAAAGTTATTTTCACACATGCCTTATTATTTATCAGCCTCCGAGGTTTTTCAATTTCCTTGTAAATACCTGGATTGGTGAGTAGTTCTTGCAGTTCCTAAGAAGGTAATCATTAGAAGGTATGAATTACCGATTCTGATTCTGTGTCTGACAGCATTTTATTTCCAATAGTATAACGAAGAGCCAATGTTATAAAGCGTGAACTCGCGAAACTCGCGCCACTAAGACAATTAATTAAAAATTTAAATTATTTTTTATTAATAATTTGATAGTTGTGTTTGCTTGTATTTTAATATGGGACAGAAGTAAGATGAAAATAAATAGGTATAATGGGATTTAATTTTAAAATACTTTTAACACTTTGGAGAGTACTAACCAATCTTATGTTGAACTTACAAATATATTATTGCAAACCAGTTAGATCCCATGCGCACTAAAGCAGAGTGGAACATGTGTCCGTATTATTGAACGCCTGCATTTGAAGTTAGATCTTATGTACAAGGTTCAACGATCGATGGTCGACATCGTCATTTAGCCATATATATGGCAATACAATAAATAAAATTAAATGCCCACTTTTGTCATTTATCATTTAGGTAGGTCAAGCAATTTTTGGAGAAATTTGATACTAATGAAGCACAGAAGACCATTGGGAAACAATCGAATTCCAATTGCGTAGAGAATGCCATTAAATACTCTACATGGTTACTTATTTGAAGCCTAAAAATGAAACGGAATATTTATATTTATAAATAATTTTTATCGTTATATCGCCTAAATAGTATACAAATTTGAAAAGCTTAGTAAATTATGTATTAAATTGATAAATTATGCCCTTCGTAAATATAATCTAACATCTATTAAAATGTGTTTAATATTATTTTCATTTTAAAGTTGATATAATACAACACTTTATTGAAATATTGCTAGGTCATTTGTAAATGTATTGTTTACAACTACATGACTCTTTGGGTCAATCTGAAAAGTGCATTGACTTAGCCTGTCTTTGTAAAGATGCCGAGTTCAGATTTGGGAAATGAGGAGAAGTCCAAAAAGCCAGCGACTCACGCTGAGCGCAATGCAGCTGACTTGGAAAAAATGTCGGGAGATTTTGAAGAAACGGAAGTTGCTGCAGGAATGACGGATGCCTTGAAAAATGTGACAGTAGAAAAGCATACAGAATCTCCAATCGTGAAGATTAGAATCAAATCTGAAGATGTTGATTTGATCGTAAATTTGTAAATATTTTATTGGATTGATTTTTAGGTGAATGAATTTGAGATTAGTCGAATCGTCGCTGAAAAGAAATTAAAGGAATGTCGTGGAGATGTTCGTGAGGCTCTTTGTACTCTTTGCAAATAGGACCTGTATTTCTCTATGTCTGTACAAATAAAGTGACTTCTCAGGAGTCTTATTTGTAAAGTAGTACGATGTTTTCACTGCCTCTCGGATCAAGTAGTGTAAGTAATCGGAATTTGCTTTGTAAAGATAACCAAAATGTTTTTTGTTTTGGTGGTCATAACTGATCGTCAAGGCTTATGACTTTTCTGGTCCAAAGTACGAACTTATTCAGTTCAAATTTTTATTTAGCATACTTTCCATTTAACTTTAAAATCTGTTGTTTTAAGCAAAACTGATTTTGTTGTTTGAGTGAGTTAGGCTTACAAATGTCCTCTTACAAATCTTGTGATCTTTCAGACTGACACGGATCATGTCTTTTTGTTAGATCTATGAATTCCCATATGTTCTGTCTACTTACCAAGTCGTTTTAGGTACTCAAAAGGTATCAGTGAGGTTTACATTGAGCACCCAATACAGCTGAAGCAAAATCAGCTTCAGCATATTGAAAGACAGGTGTATTGATGAAAATATTTTTTCTTTAACCATTTCAAAACAACTGTTTAAAAGTATGTCCTATTGATTAGTGTTGGGCAATGAGTTTTAAATATGTGAACGAGTGATTCGACCAAAATTTTATGTTAGGATGCTTTTCACCCTGTTTCTCAATTAATTCAGTTACTTCACAAGTAGTTTATTACAACACCACGGTGGGGTAGTTTAGGATGTGTAGTACACAAATTATTTACAAGTCCGATTCGACGTGGCATTTAGCTTCAGAGGTGTCATGGTGAGAACCGGGTAGAATAATCGCTGGCCGACTTTCTGTAGGCAAGTCTGATCTAATGGCCTGCTCTGTAGACTTCCAGTGGCCTGGTAATGAAATAAAAATCAATATATCGCCTAATCGATCGTGTTCACGTGTACTCCTTGAGATTGTTCGTCTCTCATATTCTTTGGTGGAAGTGTTTTATCTCTCATGCGCCTCGTTAGTTTTGATTAGATGCTAGAAGACTTGGAATTATCATACGACTGTAGTGCGTACTTGATAGCGAGCTTAATAGATCAAAGATATACTAATGCAGATTGGCCCTCGTGAAGCCCAACTAGGGAAAAACAACAGTAAGCGCAGTCTACTCAGCAGACGAGTGCATTCCACATAATATAGCCTTCCATCGAGCAGCGGGGAGAAGGATGAAAAGCGATTGAAGAATAAAGAAAAGAAAGCGATACAAATAAAAGAAGTATGCTGGGGGTTGAGTGCTTTACAAAAATAGGACAAATATTGGACGAAGAAGAGCTCGAGAGTCAGAGAAGAAAAAACCAAGAGTCTGGGCTTAAAGTTGAAATACTTGAATTGGACATTTCTCAACCACTTCTGGCCACGTCATCTTCAGTACAATTGTCATTGTCTAAAAAAGAAATTAGTGAGCGAAAATCAAATTCCACTTGCACCGCCACTTCTAGTTCAAATAGTGAGCATTTGCTCAGACATCTCACCTATTTGATTTTGACTTTTAAACTAAGGGGTTGGTGAGACAAGACACACTTACCAGCACAAGCAGTTAATAGGGAGCATCCAACACCAAGATCCTAGAGAGTGGAATTATGCTTCATATGAAATAAGTTATTAGACTGTAATATAGATTTGGAGGCGTCCGTCGCCATGACGTAGGCCAAACTCTAACAAGCTTGACTGTTAGTCTATGTGATCAGCCAGTGTCGCGATCCCTCCAAATTCGAAAATGGATCCTATGAGAGCCTCTTATGACATTTACCATATTTGCTCCCAGTCTTTCGAATTGATAAGAATACTTTATATTTTCTTAAATCAAAGACAGAGTACGGGGTTTGCGATAGACCTACCTCCACATGGTGCCCTCTGGGCAAAGTATACTAATGCGGCAAAAAAGTCTATAAACCGGCTGTTGACTTCTGACTACAAACTACCACGATCCCACTATAATATGTGCTCGACCACTTCCACAGTTCTCGCCTTACCTTTTTATCCACCTTCATTACTGCCTCTTTTCTATTTGTGAATCACTCTTCTATCCCCCCTCTATGAAGCCTGAAGTCATCTAAAGAGCTATTATTAACTATCAAAATGCATGCCATTTGATATAAATAAATAAAGGACAGAGTAAACCCAAGAAATTCTCTTCAATTAAATAAATTAAGGTAAACAGGCCTCTAAGGCTCGGCCTAATTGGTACCTTAGTTGAATGGACCTATCCAGTCGCTTCTGCCTTGCGGGCTTGTGATGTAATTGGCGCAAAACCATATTATTACAATTTCACCCATTTTGAGCTCCCTGAATTTGTCAGTTTTGCTCACTCATGAAAAAACACCATCACGATGACAGCGAAGAATTAAAGGCAGACTTGAAACTTTGCTAGCACACAGCCACATGATAGCATGCGGGAAGCACTCATCATCATGCCTTTTGTTGAGCCGGAGAATTGTGACCCTGTTTGCTGATCCAAGTTCCCATCTTCAATGCCATTTCTTGTTAACCTGCTCTACCGACACGACTTTCGTAAAAAGGACGAAGTTAGACTACGCCAGATACATTCGCTTGTCGTTACCTTATTAGTCTATTTTTTCACATTTTTACTTCGCATATCATTATAGCACTTGGGATAACATGAGTACAATAAAATTCTCAGAAGTGGTATGAATTTTAATTCATAGTGATTGCAGCATCCAGAACGGCTTGTTCTTCAAGAGAAGCCTTATGGGTCACGAATTTTCACTCTGGAAAGCACCAAGTGATTTAGAAAGTCGTTTTTTACAAACTCGCCAATGTCGACGAGTGAGGCGCGTATTAGAAAGCCTACCACTATTCATTAAGTGCATTTCCTTCAAATTTAAGGGAGCACTTTAAAGTTAAATGAGTTATTCCTTGAAACTAAGCATTATTTCCTGGGGGTCGACACAGAAAGCCGGCCACTATCAATACTTAACAATCTATCAAGTACAAGCACATAATAACGAGAGCCACGGTACTGGCCGGAATGAAATGGATTGAAAACTTTCGGCCAAGGGGCAAAAAAGAGTAAATTGTAAATTTTAAGTGCTAATGAGACAAATAGCTTATCCAACTAGAAATACAGAACATAATGAGATACATTTAATGGGACTAACCACGAGTTGGCGAAGATTGTCGACATGGGGAAAAAATGCTGCAAAGCAAAAAATACAGTGTATGAGAACTTTGAAAGCAGAAATGAGTTTCTAAAGTTAAATTAAACATTGTCACAGAACGACAAAGGATTGTCAGAATAATCATATAATTAATTTGGTGCGGTGGGGTGTGGGATAGACGCACCTCCACGTGGTGCATTCTGAGCAACGTATACTCATACGGCAAGAGAGTCTATTAACCGGCAGTTGACTTCTGCCTTCAAACTACCATGGCCCGATTGTATGCCATATTAGACCACTTTCACGGTACTCACCTTACCTTTTCCTCTACCATTGTATTTGTCTCTCATAAATCTGTGAAACCCTCCTCTGTTCCCCTCTCGAATTTTTATAACTTTGATATTCCACCGCTCTGTGAAGCCAGAAGCAAGCTAAAGGGCTAATGATGACTACCATAAAGCCCGCAACTTGATACAAATAAAAAATTTGGCGTAATTGCAATTGAGCCAGGGATATTCAAATGGCAAAAAACAGTGTGTTATAGATAAAGAGTTTTAACAACAGCAACTTGTGCAATATAGGATAAAAGTTCGTAAATCACTGGTAGATCTATTAAGTGAAATGATCATTAATACCAGGAATAGTAGGAACTTTTGAAATCATCATCGATTAAAAAAGCTGACTTAAGCTATTAAACGTGCCGTGTCCCTCAGATACAAAAGTATGAACCATAAATACAAGCTACGTGTCAAAGATAACCTCAGAGACGGGACATAAATTAACTGAACTCATTTACTTTGCTAACTGCTACGATGTGGAAAAAATAGAACATTTTCATGAACCTATAGGAAATGAGCAGTTTCGAAACAGGAATAATCCTAGACCAAGAAGCGAAAGGAACGTCAGAGTGAGACAAGTGGATCTTAATCACAGGGACATCGAATTAGGCTAAACCAATTTATGAAATTTGTCAAGAAGAGACCCATGAGGTGATAATAGACAACTCCACACCTAACTACAATCAATTTATATGAAATCGCATAAGCGTTTAAAAACACTCCTGCAGTTGTAATTTACTTACCTCCACAGGTCAAGGTCACCCCAAGGTTATGCAAATTAAAAACACAAAAGTTGGTAATTGCGTTCAGATGAATTTTATTACGCTTAACACAGAACAATGGTAAACAGACATGTAGGGGGAAAACGATTCGTGGCAATCGCATAATACATTCACGACCAGATATCCTGAGCCAGTTCTAACAGGGTCATGCCGTAATACAGCGGTTTAATTAACCCAGCCAATTAAGGTACTTGCTCATTCAAATTTCACTTAGAGTAATATGAAATGATCACTTATGTAGTCAATATATACAGGGATCATTCTGTTAAAGTCGAATCCTAAGAGTAAAAAAAAACAGGTAAATATTGCCTAAGAGAAATATACTTTAAGGAAATCGTGTACTACTAAGACAACTGTAAAAGCAAATCCACGAACTTGTTGAAACAGGAGGTAGACTTTTATGGAAAGCCAAATCAAGTGAGTTATTTCTGCCCAATAGATCATGCAGCTGCAGTCATGTCATATTTCCGACGCGGTGATTAAAAAAAAGGCAATTAAATGTGTTGAACGAGGCGGGGGGTTTTTCGGCCTTTAAAGCTGTAAACACGAGCTCATAACGACTAAACGCTCAACTCAAATGGAGATACGTATCACGAGACATCGGATGTTAGCCCTCCTCTGACATCAAACAAATTTTAAAAAAAATGAGTCTTAAAATGTGCTAACATGGAGGCATAAAAGAGCTCAAGTTCCTGCTCATGAAAATTAGTACAATTGCCTCAAATTACTCTGAAAAACAATTCTCTAGTGTAAATAA